TATTTTAAAACGATCCTGATCCTTTGGGATACGACTAGTCTGTCTCACAGTCCCTGAACCATATTTTTGTCCCCAATGCTTAGCCCTCCCTGCAACGCTAAAGCCCTAAATGAAGCAAGTCTAGATTTCCTCAGAATCTCCCATCTCACTGGGGCATCTTTTCAATTTAAATGGGTTTATTTGCTACTATCACAATTATATGTATTCAGGGTCTAAACGTTAGTCTAGGATACGACCTTCCTTAGAAGTTTTGCTGTTATAGTTTGTCAGCTAGTGTTTATTTTGCCTGATTGTCTGACGTTTTATTTTTAAAATCAATTTTGTAATTATGGCTATAACTAGTTAATTACTTAGCATATCAATTTTGTAGAGGCGGTTGGGTAGCCTGGTGGTTAAAGCGTCGCTCGTCATGCCGAAGGCCCGGGTTCGATTCCCCACATGGGTACAACTTGTGAAGCCCATTTCTGGTGTCCCCCGCCGCGAGATTGCATAAATATTGCTGAAAGCGGCGTAAAACCATACTCACTCACACACTAATTTTGTAGAATTCTGGTATAGTTACAAAGTCAATTACAAATCAGGGGAGTAACAACTTTTGTCTCACATATTGCCAATTATTTCTTCTTGTTTCAGGATGATAGCATAAGAATTAGTCTTTGAAATGAATATATCAAATATTTTAAGTTTGAAATCGTCGCTTGCAAACTACGTGTGTTATCATTATTGATGCGATTATTCTTATTAGGTCTTTGTTTCAGGAAGTATGCAACGTCAAATCAAACAAAGAGTTGTAATTGTTGATAAATGTCATCATTGCGTAGATCCATGTTCATGGCAGTCAATAATCTGGTTCACACTACCAATATTGACTGATCGCCGTCATGTAACATGACTGTCTAGTGCGCCATTAAACATCCACCCACCACAGCAACCAACAGGCAACTAACCAACTACCCAACCAATTAATCAACTAAGCAAAAAACCAGCCAGCCAACTAATCAACCAGCCAACAAACCAACCAACCAGTCAACCCACCTACCAACCAGCCAGCCAACCAATCAACCAACAGAACTACATCCTTAAAACATACCACCTGTAACCAGATCAGCCATCTACATTATCGTATCATTTACGTTCCGGCGTTGATCCGTTTATCAAAGAAGCTTTCAACCCAGCTTGACTGGAACATGCAGGGATTCTCTACACGCATCCACATCCCGTTGCCGACACAATCCGATTGTTTTAATTTGTTTCCGGATTAGGAGTAGGTGCGTCCGAACGGAACTTTAGGAGTAGCCGCAAGGTTGGCGGATGAGTCTAAGTCGTCCACTGTCACAGCTGAGGACAAGTTCGTAAACAACATGTTTCAACACACAAAACAAATGAGTTCGTTTCAAAACACACACTTGTTTCAAGAGTTCTCCCCTGAACGTTATGGGCGTTTCTCCAAACTAAACAATATTTCTACTTTGATCAACAGATAACTTAAAAAAACAAGAACACATTTGGAGCATCTTGTTCTAGTGCTGGTTATGACGTCATTAGATATACAATTTATTGAATCGTGATAACGGAATGGACCAGGAACTGTTACTGTAATCTAAATGGTCAAATAAACAGGAAAGACTAATACATCATGGTACAGGCCCGATCTGTCAACAAATACCTAACTGTACGACTGGCAGCGTGTTCGACTGGCGGTTGTCACATTCCATGCGGCAGGCGACGTTACATGCCCGGGGACGACTTCGTTACACCTTGACGACCTCTGCATCTGTGTCAGTGTACGCCCCGGGGTCTGATGCATTTAGCCGATATAAGCGATAGTATACCGTGGTTTTATGTATCAGTTAAACAATAATTTCGTTGTCTTTTGTTGCAGCATGCATCCGTTCTCTATATTCTCTCATTTAACGAAGTATGGTTTAGTGATTAACAATCAGCAAGCCATCTGTGACATAAAACCTCTGTTGACAGTTACCTATACACTGTCCACATTGCATGTGAGGGCATGGTGACCCAGTGGTTTAATGGGTCTCATGTTGATGACCTTGTTACCTCCCTACATCGTGGCAGGATCCGCTAGGAGATGGTTCAAATCTCGGTCTTATCCTGACAATGATCCTTTGACTGTCAAGGCCTAAGACATGTACCTGCGTGTAGTAAGAGTAAGTGAGTGAGTTTGGTTTTACGCCGCTTGTTGCAATATTCTAGCAATATCACGGCGGGGAACACCAGAAATAGGCTTCACATATTGTACCATGTAAAGAACATGAAATAGGCCTCCTTCGATCCCGACATATTTTGCCCAGTGAACTGTTATGTGAAAGACAGTAGGCTTACGGAGATGTGTAAAGATACGCGTTAGTAAATATAGGATTCATATTTGGTATAACGCGGTCTTAACACGACATAAGCTATATCAGGGAGTGCCCGATTCGGGTAATAATAAAGACTTGAAAATGTGACCAAACTGGTCAGCTAGGACACGGAGCTCTGACACCAAGGATCACATACATTCGAACTAACGATCAAATGATCACTTAATGATGCACATCTTTATATTTGGTGAGTGAGAGTGTAAGGTTTTACGCGGTTTTATTAGCAATATTCCAGCAATATCACGGCGGGGGACACCAGAAATGGACTTCACACATTGTACCCATGTGGGGAATCGAACCCTGGACTTCGACGTGACAAACGAACGCTACCCCACCGCCTCTACATTTTGGTGAAACGTAGGTTCTCTAACATAGCGTTAAAAGGTAAAGCCGGTGTTAGAGGTGCAAAACACAACCGTCGCACTCACTGTTTATATTTCGATATTATTAAAAGTCAGTTGTTGACTGGATTGTCCATACAGATTGCGTCGGTTGAAAATAGAACCAGTCCTTGCGTCTTTAAGATCCGAAACTTGTGATTCGGTGTGCGCGGATGTTTGAAGCAAGTGGCGTGGATCTGTAATTTGTGATAGTGGTCACATAGGAAAGATTCTCGTTTGCGGAGGTCGCAAAACATGGAATTTTCTTGCAAAAACAAGAAGACAAACTCATCAATATCCCCCGCAATGGCAAAATACTCTTCATGAACATGTCTACGAGTTATGATTATGTCAAATGTTTTGGTGTGTATATAGCTAAGAGGAAGGAGAGTACTGAAAGGTTTCAAAGTTCTGCTCCAGAATTGAGTACTACCACCAAATTCAGTTGAAGCCAAAATTGTTGCCATGGAAACGCAAAGAAAACCCATCTTATTCAGAAATCCAAAACTAGCAAAAGGCACCAGTTCACCACGAGACCTACCTATGCATGAAATTTCGTGATGAAACAGTGAACAGTTTTTAAATTTTGCTCCGGAAAAGAGCACTACCACCAATTTCAGTCAAAGTGAAACTTGTTGCCATGGAAACGCCAAAAATATTTTATTCAGAAATCGAAAAATACCAAAAGGCACCAGTTCACCACTAGACCTACCTATGTATGAAATTTGTCAAAGTGAAACTTGTTGCCATGGAAACGCTCAAAACGCTTTGTTCAGAAATCCAAAACTACCAAAAGGCACCAGTAGACCACCAGATCTATCTATGTGCCAAGTTTGGTGAAGAAACACTGAACGGTTTTAGAGTTCTGCTCCGGAAAAGAGCACTACCACCAATTTCAGTCTAAGTCAAACTTGTTGCCATGGAAACGCAAAAAAATATTTTATTCAGAAATCGAAAAATACCAAAAGGCACCAGTTCACCACCAGATCTATCTATGTGCCAAGTTTGGTGAAGAAATATTAAACGGTTTTAGAGTTATGCTCTGGAAAAGATGTGCACGGACGCACGGAAGGACGGACGGACACACGGACGGGCGGAATCAATTTTAATACCCCCGCAAAACGCGTTGCGGGGGGTAAAAATAATAATAATTTCTAGAATATTGTTATTAGATTCTATTGTAAAACATCAGATCAACCAGACACCACTACGGGTGTCATTCGGAGAATCCCATACACGTCTCATGGACGCCACGGTTCGCTAAATGAACGACTCGTTCGTTCTACTTCTTTTCGTCATGTGGATATCAGAACTGCGGATGGCAGCTATTGGCTCTCTCAGCAGTTTGAGACAACTGTTGGTCCCAAGGGCTGGAAAATTTGACCAAGAACACTGGACACCAGACATCACTGTCCCGGACTACCAATCCAGGGATAGGTGCCCCACAGACAACGTAGGACGTTGTGCAAAGCGATCTCAGCTCTGACTTCAGCAGAGGCTAACGATCATCGTACAGCTGTAGTCTTGTACCACACCCAGAACAGTCACCGCTAGAGCAATGCTCTTGACAACATCGGATTCACGCTATACCGGAAGTAATTGTTTGACCTCCCATCTCTACTGACAGGGAACTGGATAATCCATTCCCACGGAGATTTGTTGCGGACTTGTATCCAGACGATGGACAACCCGTACTCACGGGTAGCTAGACAACTGGATGACCCGTACCCAATAAAGCGAATCCGTATCCACGAACTCTGATATTGAGCAACCGGGATCACAGCAGCGAATTAATGAAACGATAGAATAAGTGTTTGAAATGTATGAATGATTGAAATGTATGACTGAATGTTGGAAAAATAATAACGCTAAGAATACATCCCAATCAAACTGTTGTAATAAATGATGAATACATTATAAGAAAAATATATCTTTCGTCGTTCATTAAGGTCTATGCCGATTTATGTAATCCGGTTTCGGCCGGGAAGAACATGGGTACGTGTCATCTAAATGTGTTTACAAATCATCCAACTTGGTACTAGTCATCAACATCAACATCAACACTAACGCACAGGTCCACCACAGAAGGTATGTATTCAAACACAGGTACGAATCTGACAATTTTGGTAAAAAAGACTTAAGCCATTTTCGTTGGGTACGAATCTCAGGGATCCCCCAGGGTCCTTCTGAAATGCACCACATGCCCATCTTTTGCGCAAGAAGAAACAAGCAGCACACATTCGCAGAATAGATTTATTGAAAACATAACAAGTGATAATTACCAAACGAAATGTATACATTGACATAAATTAAAATCATAGTGACAACGATTGCTATGTACAACCATACAAGTATTTTATGAAGAAAGGGAAGGGGAGGTGATTGTGAGAAAACTGAAAATGTCAAGGTTACATTGCTCCGCGGGATAGCTGGTGGCCTTGGAGATTCACTTCCTGTTTGTTTGGCCCACACAGTTCAAATAGACGAGGGAAACAATCACTGCTTTTCTATTCCTGTTTTACATATACATGTTCGATAACAAAAATATTCATGTTTTAATTCAGTTTATTCACTCTGAATAAAAGTTTCTTCTAAATATGCTGCATCATAATCAATATATTGGAAAGATGTTTGTTTTTCATAATCTCTTTGCTTTTAGTGTCACAATTAAAATGATATTTTCACTGTTCATTTTTGATCTCACTGAGGCCATAAGAAAATATTTACACTTTTAATTAAAACTAGATCACAAGGTCATACCTTAATTGGGAGAAAACACGGAGGAAAGTAGTCTAAGTAAACTTAGGCTCAGTATTATTCGTTACACTGCTATACTGAGATTTGTAAAAATCCAAAGTGTTTACTTGGATAGATAGATTCATGTAAATTATTGATTGCGTTAATGAACTGAGAGTTTTAACAGGAAAGGTGATGAGAAATATTTCAAACACTTTCCATGGTCCGATATTGACAAAGTACAATACTGTCACCATACACGATGTGGGTATGGGACATGGGCTAATATGTAGCATATGTACAGTGCGCAACTGTTTATAGCAGTAGCAATGTGGTAAACAAAGAGAGGAGGTAACATTTCACCAATGATGACAAGGATGTGCGAACAGAATAAAGAGGCAAGCAAGATGTACAGCCAAGGGATATCTACACAGTACAAAGAGCTCCATTATCGGGATAAACTCATTATCATCATGTACACAATACAAGTTATATTTATTACACCAGCTACTCATAGCAACATACATACACCCTATACTTACATGCCTGATGTAGAGTACAATACAGATTACTATAAACAGACTTTAATCAAATCAAAATTGTAGTTTAATAATGACTCTGCTTCTTGTGATGAGAGCATCTCTGCCAAGAACTGGAGGAATATTGAGGTGACATTCAATATCAGAAAAGCTTTAGATGATTGACTGTAGAGTATTTATTATTGAAAGAACTGTTTCTGCAAATGTACAATTTCACAGACAATGTTTTTAACTTTATAGTTTTTGTCCTGGCTTACGAAATGAGATCGCAATGTCCAGTGACCCTTGGTGCAAGACGCAGCTTAATGGAGACTAGACAACATCAGCCATCTCACTGAACTGAACTGCAGATTACCTATATTTGGGAATGGAATGTAAAAAAGATCAGTTCAATAGATTCATTCAATTCCAAAAGGTTTGTGATTTAAGCCATTTGAAGAATATTTCATCTACATCCAGCGTAACAAAGGAGTACAGCAAGAAGGGACACAGGTCTGTTACCACTTTGGAGAAGCCCAAGAGCAGGGGATGTTGATGTATCAAGATCATGATCTGTCTGAATCTGCAGATCCTGACGTTACTAAGAAACATAACTACCCTGCTAAACGTCTATTGTGCCAGTCAGTTAAATATCCAGCTTTATAACTGTGGTCACAAGAATAATAAATAACTGAATCTGTGTAAAGTTCATAGCACAAGCTAAGATCCTTGACATCAGGGGACATCGGCACCCAGTTATCAGTTATCTTACTCCAAGCATCTGATGAACTGCTGGGCCAAAGTACGCACTTGAAAATCGCCTTTTACCAAAATGTCTCAAACGTAACTGAAACACTGCAACCATATGTTCCAAACACAACAATGATGTAGTTCATCAGAATGTACAAATCATTAATTGCTGGTTGCTGTTTTAGTCACCATAATACATGGCCAGGCTGTTCACTCGTTAACCATTCTGAGACATATAATTAGAAATTTGAAAGAAATTTTGATAGTAAGAATGAGCATCTTATTGCACAACTATTACAGATCACAGACACATCCGACTGAAGCATTAGGATTAAACAACAATCATGAAAATACATATCACGGAAATGATTGGTAATAGCTTACAACCGATTACATAGGCTGGAGAAATTGCAGATTAACATGATTTGCCTGATCCTCAAATTTTTTAAAAGTGTACACATGAAATTCAAATAATGGTTATACAAATATTTCCCAAATGATTTACATCATCTTAAAGAATTGTTGGAACTCTTCACACATATATAAAAGTCAGCACATATTCAGCAGTAGCCATTGAAAGGACTGAGTAAATTAAAAAATATGGTTTGATTTGTGAGACAAAACATGAATATTACTTAAGAGTTTTTATGATTTTAAGAAGTGTAAATATTAAAGAATGCATTCTAAACCTACAAATTTAATGTACAGAATGTCAAAGAAGCTATATAAAACTATTTAGATAATCATTTTAGAAATTTTGAAAGATCAATGATTAAGATATACAATCTATTTCTTGAAGGAAAAAGTTTAGTTCACACGTGCACATAAAAGATAATTCAGATAAAAGATAATTCATAAATGACATGTTTCATGATCATGTCAAGGACAATAATAGAAAAGTTAAGTGAGAATATGGCTATGATCAGTGTCTTATCCCAGTAACCAGAATAGGAATCAAAGCATTCCACAGTTACCATGGTGATGTAGTAAAGGTGCTAACTAGACAAAACAAGGCAAAAAACACCAGATATACTGATGGAAAGAATTCTGGCAACACATAGAAACAAAGCAGAACACTAAACACTTGAATTCATGAAGATGTGTCAAATAAATTACCAAAGTCAATATCTGGTATGTTCACATTGTTACCAAACATACCCAAGGTTTGGCAACAAACTAAACATTACATCAATCATGATTATATTCATATCTGTTCCCTTACATATTTCCTTCAGTATATGGTCTATTTCAGAAATACCAATGAAGATTCTTGGAGTTAAACTTGGTCTTTGGATCAACCACCAATAAATTAGACTAATGTAAAATCTTTATATCAACAAAGCCTTTAACCAATTCCGTCATCAAACTCACTAAGATTGTGACCTAATGACACTTTACTTTCTTCATTTTTTATTTTTCTTAATTTCTAACTACCCACAGTTCGTTAAACACATCACTCAAAGATATACTTGCGTCTTGAATGTTGTCATATTTCAACCACCAACCTTATAAATATTGTGATTCAAAAAGAATTCATTGGGCCAGAACTCGAATGTTTTACTTGGCTGATAAATATATAATCCCCTTTTAATGTTAAAATGCTTAAATTGAGACATTTGTACTAGCATATCGAAAAGGGTACTAGTCCCAGGCTAGTTGGCTAGTGGTAAGCTCTGACTTTGCATTCCAGAAACTATAAGTTTATAACAAGAGCTTAAAAAAATCTTCCATATAATTTTAGAGAAAAGAATATGTTCTGAAGGCTTTTCACACACAAACTGTTTTGATAAAAACAACAACTGTGGTTGGAGATCTTCTTATAATGTTGAGGTCATGACCTCAGTGTTCCTGCTGTTCTCGTTCCTGTTCTAGTAGGCGTCACGGTTGGTCACGCTGGTCATGTCACTATGTCTGAAAATAACAACAACTTTTAATGCACACGTCATTCCATGGAGCTGTCACACACATTCTTAACGCATTAATTGTAGTTTTAACAAAAACCTATGGAACATGATCCCAAACATTAGCATTTGTTCTGTCTATTCCTCACTATATCAGCAAATAATATTTAAGAACATAATCAGATAATATGTGGGATAACTGTTTTAGAAACAATATTATCAATATTTATGACATTTACATGATACATATTATAATAGAATTATCTTATTCCCAGACATCAGATGTTACAACATTAAAAATATATAATGAATCTTGAACGATGATTATAAATAAACACAAAGGGCAAAAGAAGAAAATGTAAACTGAAAAGAATAAATTTGAAAACCAATTCAAACCTATGAATAACCACCTGCTACCTGAACCGGTTGTGAAGCTTGACGTGATCAGATATATTTCTCTACATTTACATGACAAGACTGTCATGGCATATTGCATGTCATGGCATGTGTCATGCAATCATTGTTTCAGCTTTCTAACACAGCATTTTCTGTTATACATTTCAAATTTTGTTTTCAATTTTCGGCTTGGTGAATGATCATATTTGTAGAGGCAAGATTGAGTGAGTGAGTATGGTTTTACGCCACTTTTAGCAATATTCCAGCAATATCACAGCGGAAGACACCAGAAATGGGCTTAACACATTGTACCATGTGGGGAATCGAACCCGTGTCTTTGGCGTGACGAGCGGACGCTTTAACCATTAGGCTACCCCATCGCCCCTGTGAAGGCAAGAAATAGGTAATCTATCTGTATGTGATGGAATGGCACATATATTTTTAAAAGCTTCATGATAAGAATCATTTATAACTTTAGATGAAAACAAGCCAGAGGCCTTACATATTAAGGATTTTGAAAAGGAAGTTATCAATTCGTTGGTTTCACATTAAGTTTCGACTTGCTGTGCGTATGCGTAGAGCGTGTAAACATATCCATTGGTCAACTTCCGGTTTGGTCGTATTAGCGATATTGTAAACATACTCTAAATAAATGCTGTATGAATATTATTTACGCGTGACAACTGTTCATAGTTGAGTACATACATCCATTTGCCTATGCTTTTCAATAATTGATGTCCTATTTTGGTGGCATTGCATCAGAGATGTGTTTTTACTTGTGAGAAGGGGATGTGCAGGAAGGACGGTGGACGGGTGGTGGTGAGATGTGTTTATACAAGAGCTTGTTAACAAACGTTAAGCTATTTATTTAACTAATTCCGGTCCCTTCCATTCATAAATGAATTGAGATCAGTTAAATTCGAGGTAAAACCATATATTTGTTTTGATTTTTTCTTTCTTTAGAGTGTATTTACACTATCGGTAAAGCTTACGACCAAACCGGAAGTTGGACAGTGGATATTTTTACACGCTCTGCGCATGCGCACAGCGAGTCGAAAATTAATGTGAAACCAACGAATACCTTCACCGAATGTGTTGGTGTCACTTTTGTCATATTTAATTAAGATGGCTCATATCTGTGCAATATGCAAGGGAAGTCTAAAGCATTTGCTGCTCATAGGGATGTAAATGATCAAGCTGATGATGCTCACACGCAAAGGATCATAAATTTGGATTCTCACAATCAGAAGATCCTGGCACCTAAGGGACACAACTCTGTAATTCACTCTCAGTCGGCCCTGACAATTTTTTTGTTTGCTACTGGTCTTCCTATTCAAACAGTACAAAATAGGCCTATAATTATTGAATGTTTAAGGTTGACCTTCCTCGTTGTTGTAGAAATAAATAAAAATAAACTGAAATTTTGTAGGCTGATTGTTAATAGAAATAACCTCTGGCCATAAAATGTTTTGGTCACTTTAGTTGGCAAATTTTAAAATTAAGTAATTTGAACAAGCAATTTAATCTTGGAAATATGATGAAAAAAAGGTGAAATCTATTCATTCGATCAATTCACATTGCATGAAGCTAGTTTAGGCATGCACATGACAAGCAATATATTGATCACACAAACACTAAGCGTCCATGTTGGTAAAAGGGGAGCTAGGCATAGAACAAAATGATACACCCAGGTAAAAATACCAAATTTACCAAAGTGAATGAACATGATGAATGAACATTCATGGACCAAACATTGTGTCTGAAATATAAAGATATATCTGGCTGACTTGCGTCTAGAGAGGGGGGGGTAACTCTCTTTACCACAGCAAATAAAGACACTTAGTTGATGTAGATCAGGACATTTTACACTTCCAAACGGCTATCTTCCATATGAAAATCAATTAATTAATTGAACTGAAAATATTGTAATTCTTTATCACAATTTAAAAATAATTTTGATAATAAAGCACTTCCGAGAAAATAATCGAGTGTTCTCATAAAAAATTGTGAGACACCAATTACAAATCATAAATAATTCAAATTTATGTGTTTTGCTTAGGTATTTTGTGGATGTATAAATAAAAATCAAATTGAAAGAAGAAAAGGACAAAAATGAAGATGACGTTTGGGTAAAATATTCTGATTTGCATGTAAGCTTCTGCTAGATGCCGTCCCATGCCACGGAGCTTGATCTGCAGCTACCTCCTCTATAGGTCCCTGTGTAACATGCTCTCAACTGTCTGCTACAGTCCACCCTACAGGATCGTCTAACATACAGCCCTAGCACAAGGTCACAGGTTGCCTGTCACATCGCATGTCAAGATGCATGTGTATGGTTCACGACCACTGACCGAGATAACATAGATATAATATTGAACTTAATACAGATATAGCAAAAGACACATTCATGCAAGAACCAAATTCTGGAATTTGTGAGTTATTTACTAACTATAAGGTAGCAGAAAAGACAAAGGCAGGTCTCTATGGGGCATTTGATTATATGCACGGTTAATGCTGTCATTCACATGCACAGGAGGATCAAGATGCACAGACATTGTTGATGAAACAGGCTTTTCCATGAGACGGAGAAGATAATGCTGATGTATTCTATGAATAACAAGAAGTCCCAATTTAATCATAACAAAATGAAAAAAAATGGTTTTAATACAACATTACCTTCTAATTTTACATGAAATGAAATATAAAATAGTGCCCTGTGCCTGTAGCTCATCTAGATAGAGTCCAATGTATTTATCAAATGTTAACAATGAGAGACACTTAGTATGTGCAGAACATATTAGAATTCTAATGCAGAAGACAAAAGTATTAACAAGTGCAAAATGAGTCCAGGTACCCAAATATACTTTTAAATCTGCAAGAATAAATGTACAATTTTAGAACGCTGTTGCAATGCACAAGAATATTTAATGACCCTACCCTTATTTGCCTTCAAAGTTATTTCCCATACATTGTTTTCCATAGTGAAAATCAAATTTGAGCCTTTTGAACATATTGAGATCACTGATTGGAACAATCTTGTAAAGTATCAGCTTCATTTTTGATGCTTCAAACATCACCACGGACAAGAGGGCCATGACAAAAGCTCACTTGACTTTTAGTCAGGTGAGCTAACATCAATAATCATTTGCCACACTGTTCAAAAGAGTTTAAGAAAAAAGAATTCCGCATTTGTATGTTCAATTCAGGATACTCCATAAGTTTCAGCTTAGTTTAGTTAGTAGAAAACTGTTTCTATGTTAACCCACTTGTCTGTATGGAGGCTGTCAGAATTTGATATACAAGGAAAGAATCTCAACACAAAAAGCACCTTTTGTATTGCATTTCAGTCAACAAACAAAGAAGCAAAATTTAGCATAGAGGCTGCAGACACTTTAGATGAAGCAATAGCCATTTTAGAAATAGCAATTCTTCCAACATTTGTTTTGAATATAGTTATTTCAAAAGCTAAAGTTCCTGTCTTTCTGGAATAGTTCAATGCTTTCCTTACATAGCATATCATTTATGTTACATGCTATATTAGAAAATTAGTGTCTATCCCTTCCAAACAAATATCACTAATTACTAAAAAAGGCATATGATAAAAAAACAATACAAAAAAAGATGACCTTGTGTTTCCTCAGGCAAAGTCCGGTCACGAAAATATATTTATATATATATATATATATATATCTGTATGTTCTTCCTCCTTGTTTGAGAACACCCCTCACCCCCACAACAGCTGGAATCAAAGTCTTCTGTCTACAAAATCTGAGTTTACAGGCTGAAAATGAAAGTGTGACCACTACCACCAGATACTAAATGAACTAAACACTATAGACTAGTTATGTGGAATGTCGGTAAAGACCTACAACCGTAACCGAAGGAAGCGGGACCTGGCTAGTCATGCACTAAGGTCGAGGTGTGGTGTTTTAGCAGACAGTTGTAGCAGACAGTTGCAAGCGGCATGTTACACATCCCAGTAAAACTCAAAGGATGCCACGGAATTTGTGTACACAGCTACCGAAATACTTCAGGTGCTCCTTGCTTACTGACAGATTTTGAAAGAGGGTCGGCAAACCTACTTGTAAACAGCATCATTAATATCAGCATGGCAATACTGCATAACCATGGTAACAGTTACCTCATTGTTGTCATAGTTTCATTGAATACAACATCACCCTTCATAAGATGTTCAGTTTCAAATTATATTTATCAGGAATTTCAAAATGTGAACTCTTTGACGGAATTTCTAAAATTAATACAGCTAAGGCAATTTTTCAGCCATGTTCAAATAAAGTATACTTAACCATTAATTATTCAAGAAATATCTCAATGACTACTATATATAGTCACTACAAAGTTTATTTTTGAATAGATACTTCATTTAATATCCCAGTTTTTTAAAATGAAAATTCACTTTCTTTTGATTCCTCAAAGAGTTCTTTGAAATATACTTATCTCACAAGTTATTAAGGAATGATGAAATTAATAATAATCATAATAAGAAGCAGATTTATAATAACAAAACATAAAACAGATCTTTCAAAATCTGTATTGTGAAGCAGTTGTCAGCAAATAAAGCTATTTCAGTAGCTGAATTCATACTGGTACCTATTGTAAACGAAATATCTTGACTTTTTCTTCAAGTACAGGGAAAAAGAAAAAGAAAATATTAATCAGTATATTGTCACATCAAGCAAGACAAATAACACTGCCATTGCATAAAACAATACGCAATTGACAATGTCCATTATGTTTTGGTCATGTTAATTTCAGATGATGTTTAAACATGTGCAAAACATGAATCATAAGTGTGTGCTTCGTCTTTATTAGAGGTAATATCATAATTTAAAATCAATGTTGAGAGATGATTTTTCTGTTTTTTAAAACACATTAGAGGGATATACAACACACAAATATATGAGTTATGCCACTCAGAAATTGATCAAAAGGGGGTAACTCTGCCCTGACACAAATTTTGACAAGCCGTCAACACCAGACTGCAGCAAATAGCCACATTTCTTTTAAAAAAAAATCCATAAAATAATTATTCCATTATTACTATTAAAGAAAATCATCATAATATACTACTGACAAAAAATAAGGGAACAAATCAATTTGAATGTCCAGGTGTAATTTTACGATCTCATCAAAATGAAATTTCACATCACGCATTTTTTATTCATCTTAGGATAAAATTTGTTTAACAAACGATCATAGTTTCAAATCACTATTATTGGTTTGTATTACAAGGGGGTAAGCACAGAAGTTGGAACAGTAAAACAAATGCATGTGCAGTACATGATGAGCGTTAACTCAGACCAACCCCCATTTTCTTGGTGTTTCATTTAATGTGCATTCCCCCTTGTAATATGAAACCAATACCAGCGATTTGAAACTATGATAGTTTGTTACACAACTTTTATCCTAAGTTGAATAAAATTCTGAGATTTAAATGTTCATTTGGCAAGGTAAAATTATGAGGATTCACAATCTTAATTTCACTTTATTCGATTTACATTTTTGTTTAAAGTGAAATTCATTGGTACGTTTTCACTTCAAACAGACTATAACTGAGCCAAACACATGCTTAAAGATGCCCCAGACCGTTTTCCACACATAATGACAATTTGTGGGTACAAGAAGTGGGACATAAATATCTCAATTTGCCTGAATGGCTGATCCACACCAGATATTGATCCATATGCCTGAAATTGATTTTACTGATATTTATCATTACAACATCATTTCACTAGTCCCCTCATTTCATCTCAGTAGTATATCATTCAATATTTTTAACATTATCTGTATTAATATATTACAGATATGACATAATGGGTCCCAAAGAACTGGAAAATTTACTTTTTATAAAGGTTTGAAGTAAGTGCGTGCAAGAAGTGATACAATTTGTATTAAACAGTTTCCTGTTTAGGAGTCAATCAGTGCCCAAGACCCAAATGAATATTAGGAATTTAAATACGAGATTTAACGTTTACAATCGTCAGTCATGATCAAATTGCAGAGACTTAAAGCATATGTAAAGATAGTAGTATTATGACATATACACCAGAAATCCAATGTACTAGAATGTGTGAGGTCATGCATGGTGGGGTTACCATGGTTACACATATGGGGGACCTCAGACGGTGTGTTGCTAGGGGAAATACATGCATACCTCCATCCTACCTTCCAGCCATGTTAGACTGCCATGTTAACAAAGCAGTCATGCCACAAGTGAGTAGAGGCAGAACTAAGGTTATGTTAAATACAGAAGCTGTTCTTATAAACGCCACACACACTGTTCAAGAACTAAGACTAATTTGGGTAAAAGCTGAACCAAATTCATATATTAACTTATAATAAAGCATTAAACCATGGTCTAGCTCCTAGCTCTATATCTCAGGTTAAAGTCACAGGATGGATCTTCATCTTTACAACTTCATCACTAAGTCCTATATTGAAAATTGGGTACTGTGGGCCATAAAGTTAGAACTGTCATCTTGGGTGAGTGAGTATAGTTTTATGCTGCTTTTAGCAATATTTCAGCAATATCACAGCGGGGGACACCAGAAATGGGCTACACACATTGCACCCATGTGGGGAATCGAACCTGGGTCTTTGGTGTGATGAGGAAACGCTTAAAATTTAACCACTTGGCTACCCCACCGCCCCTGTGTCATTTTGGGGGCTCACTAGTATACTCAGTAAGATAATACAGGCTTCTCATAATGGACATGTCAAACCAGCTGCTAATATTACGACCAACATTCCATGCCAGCCAGGTGTGACGACAGGTAATTGACCAATTCTCCCGACAACCCAATCCATCAAGTCAGCCCTTCTATCAAGTATAGATTTCTGTGAAAACTGATCGACATTTGGTTCCAAAGGTGTACACCAGCTGTGTCCCAATCAACCTTCGGAACGCTCCTCAGCAACATATGCTTGTCATAAGAGGTGATTTGTGGATTGGGTGGTCAGAACCGGTTACTGCACCATGATGATAGTCATAATAATATCATTCACTGGATTGTCTGGTCCACACCAGATGGCTATCAGATTATTAAACAACAAACAAACAATACAAATATTATATCAAAATCCTGAAATATAACCAATGATTTTCCAGTTTTATTAACACTGACACTTCTAATAAATGACAGACAACAGGTGCTTGTTAGATTTCACCCAATTGTCAGGTGAGCTGGTGAATCAAGACTTTGTGTTAAGGAACTGCAAACGTAGGTGCAAAATGTTTCAACAGCAAACTAAACTGCAATACTATGAACGCTTGGAAGTCAACAGCACAGCAACTCAACAGCTAGTTAGTAGGAAACAAATAAGGAACACGGTATATCCTTACCACCATGCCACTAGAAGGCTACCAGGCATTGAATCGGCTGCCACATAAAACACACAGTCACTTAAAGGACAACAACATAACCACTACACGATTTGCAGACAAACTCAGCCACGTCTCAACTACCAACTCATGCTTATAACGGAATGTACAAAACTACAGAGATGATTTCGTGACAATAGGCAGGTGCTTCCTTTTTCTTTAGACTTTAGCAGTTTAGAAACTATGTTCTCTTAAATTTCTATCACATTAGGCTGAGAAAAAGGAGGAACAATATAGTATCTACATCGAATTTACATCCTTTTCCACTTAACAAACTTATGGACTTCGAGGGTTATTATATTGCAAGAGATATTATCAAACAAAACACACAAAAATCTGAGAACAAAAAAACATGATAGGTCTGGCTTTAAATGCTTTCAGGCATTAACTGTTTCTGATTACATTCAGGCATTAACTGTTTCTGATGACATTCAGGCATTAACTGTTTCTGATGACATTCAGGTATTAACTGTTTCTGATGACATTCAGACATTAACTGTTTCTGATGACATTCAGGTATTAACTGTTTCTGATGACATTCAGGTATTAACTGTTTCTGATGACATTCAGGCATTAACTGTTTCTGATGACATTCAGGCATTAACTGTTTCTGATGACATTCAGGTATTAACTGTTTCTGATGACATTCAGACATTAACTGTTTCTGATGACATTCAGGTATTAACTGTTTCTGATGACATTCAGACATTAACTGTTTCTGATGACATTCAGACATTAACTGTTTCTGATGACATTCAGACATTAACTGTTTCTGATGACATTCAGGCATTAACTGCTTCTAATGACATTCAGGCATTAACTGTTTCTGATGACATTCAGGTATTAACTGTTTCTGATGACATTCAGGCATTAACTGTTTCTGATGACATTCAAGCATTAACAGCTTCTGATGACATTCAGGCATTAACTGTTTCTGATGACATTCAGGCATTAACTTATTCTGATGACATTCAGGCATTAACTGTTTCTGATGACATTCAGGCATTACTGTTTCTGATGACATTCAGGCATTAACTGTTTCTGATGACATTCAGACATTAACTGTTTCTGATGACATTCAGGCATTAACTGTTTCTAATGACAAAGAACAAACCTAATTTAACTTCAACATGACAAACAAAATCTACAATTTGGGCCCTGTTTCACAAAGTGATGTTAGCACTAAGATGATCCCAACTACCATACTTTAACATAGGCATGATAGGCTTATGATAGTTACGATAGTCAGGGTGCTAATATTGCTTTGTGGAACTGCTTCCTGGGTTAGTACAAACATAACCTGAACTCTGCTTGTGAAACTGCTTCACAAGTATAGGACTTATCAAGTAATCATCACAACTGTTCAGGAAGCATGACATATAGGTTAGCATCCTCCGTCTCGGAATCAGGAGGAGGTGGTGGCCAAAAGCGGTGTTTGTTCCAGGCGGGATGCAGCATCAATACATTCACACGCCAACTGAAAACAGCATCCTCCTGGCTATCAATACGTTACATCATTATCAGTGACATCTGGCTTATCTATATTTGATCATAAGTTGTGTCACCATGGCGACAGCAAGAAGAGTGGGTGAGTCTAGTCTTACGCCTCTTTTAGCAATATTCCAGCAATATCACAGCAAGGGACACCAGAAATGGGCTTCACATATTATACCCATGATCAAGTCCTAGAAACTCTCAGGAGTGGGCTATAACTATGTCACTTGACATAACACTGTCTAAAAAACTGTGCTAATGATGTCTACTTCACTTGACATAACTATGACTATTTCATCTGACTATTCTGCCTGACGTAATACTCCATTTCTATCAACATAACACATTTACACCCGAAGCAACTCTATTTGACCTGATGTTACCGCCTATTTCACTCGACACAACACTGTCTATTTCACCGGACACAACACTGTCTATTTCACTGGACACAACACTGTCTATTTCACTGGACATAACACTGTCTAATTCACTGGACACAGCACTGCCTATTTCACTGGACATAACACTGCCTATTTCACTGGACACAACACTGTCTATTTCACTGGACACAACACTACCTATTTCACTCGACACAACACTGCCTATTTCACTGGACACAACACTGCCCATTTCACTGGACACAACACTGCCTATTTCACCGGACACAACATTGTCTATTTCACCTGTCATAAACTGCCTATTTCACCTGTCATAACACTCTCTATTTCAACTGACATAATGATGTCTATTTCACTTGACATAACACTGTCTATTTCACATGAGTCATCCCTATTTCATTTGATGAAACATTATTTCATCAGAAGCAACACTGCCTATTTAAACACGTGACATAACACTGTACATTTCACCATACAAAACACTGTCTATTTCACCTGACATCAACACTGTTTCACCCGTCAGAACAATACATTTACTACAAACTAACAGCATGAGACACAGACTACAGCATCTATGACAACGACTGTAGCGTGACAACCTACTGACATGGCAGACAAGTACCATGGTGACGCCTACTTACTTCTTGCCAAACTTGAGGTGTATGATGAGGAATACAATGCCGAGGACGATGCACAAGCTGCCCACAACGAGGTAGGCGATACCCAGGAAGGGGTTCTTGCCGCCCAGCCAGGATGTGGTTGTAAGGATGATGCTCTTTGTTCCACCAAACGCCTCTACAGGATATGCTGGAGACAAACATAATGATAATAATGTTATTTATTGTATAGCGCTTATTTCCAATGTAGCACTGCTCAGAAGTGCTGTAATTATTACCCCCGATAACCCAAGCAGCCTGTGAGGTGCTAGAAGGTTAATACTTAATGACTTATCCCACCAGGTACCCATTTTCTGCTGGGTGAACAGAGGCAATTTTGAACAAACTCATTTGATGCTCGAATAACAAATAGAGGAAACATGAAATATGATAGACCTAAAATATGAAACCGTCAGCTTGTTTGAATTCATGTCTTGTTGCCACTTTCATCAATATTCCAGCTATATCACAACGACCAGTTAATAATCAGGGTCTGGATCATACAAACCATTGACTGATCTCATGTGCATAAATCTACAGAGTTTCAGAAGTACATAAACCATGCAATCTGACTGGACACCTGATCCCATTAGTTGACTTTAATGATGCTGAGGAACAGTTCTAAAGCATGTGTTCACAGGTTCATCTGTACTGAACTTCACAGTCAAAATTCAATTATGAAAGTCAACTCAAACGGATCATAATAGGAGTGAGTGAGTGAGGAAGGTTAGTTTTACATCGCTTTTAGCAATATTCCAGCAATATCACGGCGTGTGACACCAGAAATGGGCTTCACACATTGTACCCACGTGGGTAATCGAACCCGGGTCTTCAACATGACGAATAAATGCTTTAACCACTAGGCTAGCCTGCAGCTCCGATCATAATATTAATCATGATAAAAAACATCATCAGTATGATGTCACTTATAAATTGGACAAAGATTTTGTAAGCCACTCATGCCACATATACACTATGATATATGGATACTTATGACTGATTAAAGGGTTGTGGGGTAACCTAGTCGTCGTAATAAAATCTGAGAACAAGTACATTCATACCTCATGTCAAACCTCCTGTTGTCTTCATCTAAAAGCTCAGCCCTTCGTATCAATTCGTTATTCATCTTTTTTTGGTTGTGTGGAAACTGATCATTTAAAGTATTTACATAGCTCTGGTCACCTTCGACACAACTTTGACTGTGTATGACTTTAATACAATTGTACATGTCAATTGTTTTCATAATCAAATGAAAGTTACAACATGTGAGTTTAGTTTTACGCCGCACTCAGCAATAACCCAGCTATATGGCGTCAGTCTGTAAATAATTGAGTCTGGACCAGACAATCCAGTGATCAACATCATGAGCATCGATCTACACAATTGGCATACAATGACATGAGTCAACCAAGTCAGCAAGCCTGACCACCCGATCCCGTTAGTCTCCTTTCACAACAAGCATGGGTTACTGAAGATCAATTCCAATCCTGATCTTCACGGGTCTACAACAAAGAAGAACATGATAATTGAATTGTGCATACCATAAGTGATGGTGATCTCATAGTCTCCAGCAGGAAGTCCCCCACTGAATGTTCCCTTGTGGTCAATACGTCGATACAGTTTGCGGAAGGTGGGGAGGGCTGCTGTTCTCATCCACACGATCAGGTCTTCGTTCACGTACCCATTGTTGCTGGCCTCAGTGTCAAGGTCCCATACTGGATTGAGCCAGTTGGGGGGCTTGGTGAAACCGGACCAGGCTAGAACAAGCACATCATGTTACCATGGTTACAGGTTAAATGGGGCTAGGATGTAGACATGGGAACAGAGAACTTGTAGTCCATGTTTGAATTCAACTACTACATAATGTTTATCAGTCATAACATATCAGTGTCTAACTATTAAGGTTTGCTACATGTCTCCGAAACAGATAATACATAGGTCATCAGAAGATGACAAATTAGTGTTGGGAAGTGGTTAAAATCACACAATTGAAAATTGGTTCATTACAACCAATCAATCATCGAAAATAATTGGTTAGTGTCATTTACCACATTCTCCTGGTTTTGTTTGTTAATGCACATGAAATATAGAAAAAACATGTAGTTCTTTGGGGTTTTTTGCAAACAGCACAAAATGCATTTGCAAATTTCAAATCTTTAAAGGATGACTATTATATTAGGAACATTAATTTCTTGTAGTCTTTAAGATAAATTCCAACATGACAAGGAGCGAGCTTGTAGTGCTTATGAAATGTAACAGGCAAAACCAACCTTGTGAAATATACTGTTAATGCAAACATGTGTTCGAAAATTGATTGACTGTTTGGTCGTTTAGGAACTGCGACCAATCTTCGATTATTACAATTAATTGGACCACCACTAGGACAAATCCCCCTAGCCCCCACAAATTTGAAAGACCAAATCATCTGACAGTTACTTAAAGTCCAACTTAACATTTTTAGACTAAGTCCAAATCATTTCCATGGAAATCATACAAAACATAAATTCCAAAAATCTGCCAACAGCACAAGGCACCACTTCAAGATCTGTTTCATATATCTGCCAAGTGTTGTAGAAAGATATTGAACGTTTTTCGCTCCGGAAACGACGCCTGCCCCTTGCCTTTGAGACTAAGTTCAAAACGTTTCCATGGAAACGAAGAAAAATAAAAAATGACAAAAAATCTGTATATAGCGAAAGGCACCACTTTAGGTTTATTTGATATATCTACCACTTTTTCTTGAAAAATATTGAACGGTTTTCGAGTTATGCTCCGAAACAAAATTACAGACAGATCGACGGACGGAGCCCAAAATAATACCCCCCGCAAATGTGGACATCACAAAGGTCACTGATGTGCAAAAGATGTCATGTCAGCTTCAGATATACAAAAGTGCATAATTACAATTTTCCTGTTGTTGCCAAACTTGCAATGCATGATCTAAATTGATTTGTGTTGTGTTTTCTTTCCAAACTATATTGCCACATATACTTTGAATCTTGTAGAAAGAACCTACTCGTAACCAGGGTAACCAATAATTGTAGTATTTGTACAAGTACCCACAATGACTGAGACAGAAATATTTCTATAAATATCAGCTTCCACAGATAAGCAGAAGTCAATTCAACCTCAACAAGTGTTTGCCACTAATATAGCAATGTCCCCCGCCGCTGAAGAAGAACGAAATATTCATAATATATTCACTACATTTTATTCTTTGACCACATACAAGATGCCTGAAATGACTGGTGTCTGTATAATCACTCAATGTAGCCTGTCACCAAATTTGAAGACATTGGGTGCAATGTATTATGAGATATCGTGTTTACGTAAGTTTGTAAAGTGGTCAAATGTCGTGGTGACCTTGAAAATAAGGTGAATACATAGTCGCCCGTTCTGCGGTGCGGCGGGGTACAATCAGAGGTGGTTATGGAAATTTGAAACTTCTAAATGAGAGAATAGAAGTAACAATAACTCACAAGCCGGGTTTTGAAATTTCACTGTCTTGTCCGACACCCAAGCGATTCCGGTTTTCAACATATCGACATTCTCTGCTGTACCGTTTGTTTTGTAGGACAACGTGAACGAATCTACAAACAAACAAAATAGACTTGAGCATGTTCAAACACTACAACAGACATCAAGTAGCATAGTAACGATTCAACAAACTATTGGTTCATTTAGATGCTTTGAGTGAGAAAGTAAACCTGGCTAAAAACACTTTGAACAGAATTTTATTTCAATAATTATACATCATTTCCAGAAGGTTTGGTTTATCGTTTAGTCAGGCTGTTGTATGATGCTGCACTCAGCAATATTCCAGCTATATGGCGGCGGTCTGTAAATAATCGAGTCTGGACCAGACAACCCAGTGATCCACGCAATTGGGATACGATGACATGTGTCAACCAAGTCAGTGAGCCTGACCACCCGATCCTGTTTGTCACTTCTTTACGACAAGCATGCGTCACTGAATATCAATTCTAACCCAGATCTTCACAGGTCAAAAACCTCTTTGAACAGTATTTCAATAATTACAGAATTTTTTTTGGAGTCAATGAATGACTCAAAGATGGCAGACAAATCTATCAGATTGAAACAGAGTTTGCTACAAAAACCACTTTCAAAAGAGTCCGTTTAACATTTGCTTAATGAGGGAGGCAAGCCCTAGGTGATGCACTTCACACACACACAGTTGCTGTCCACTTTAGTAAAAACTCACAGGTAAGGTATTGACAAATCTAGAGACATACGGTCTACAAGTTGAACTTGGATTTGAACTTAGGTTTCTGAAGGGCCACAACTCTGCACAGAAGGCTTTGGCTCTTCGAGTGAGTGAATGAGTGAGTTTAGTTTTATGCCACACTCAGCAATTTTCCAGCTATATGGCGGGGGTCTGTAAATAATCGAGTCTGGACCAGACAATCCAGTGATCAACAGCATGAGCATCGATCTGCGTAATTGAGGACCGATGACATGTGTCAACCAAGTCAGCGAGCCTGACCACCCGATCCCGTTAGTCGCCTCTTACAACAAGCATAGTCGCCTTTTGTGGCAAGCATGGGTTGCTGAAGACCTATTCTACCCTGGATCTTCACGGGTACTGTGGCTCTTCGACAAACTGGCCACCCAGGTACCACATCTCACAAGATAATTATCCCAAGAGTTTACTGGTCCAAACCATTTCATAACAGCCAATAATGAGTGTTACCAGTGAATGGATTGCTGGTACACAATATGCATCCTCTATATCCATTTACAATCTCATATCCTGAAAGCCTCTTTATACCTTCAGAGCGAGCATTTTAGTAATCCTACAACAATCCCCGGGACCCATCTTGTGGTTTTTGATATCCCAAATGAACAGCCTTGATTTTTATGAATGTTTTACTTATAAATCAAATGTTGACAAACAGAAATGGGAAAGGACAAGGGAGGTAACTCAGAGTGACTTTGGCAACATTTGCTTCAAAATGGCTGAGCACCACAGCATTTATTCTGACTCAAAAATACCATTGAAACAGTTATATGATTTCAGTTCCCTGGAAAGAGCTCAATTATTTCAATTTCTGTACAATTTAATGGCAGACAAGATGATAAATCAAACTCACCATATTTCATCTACCAGTTTAAACTCTAGGTGAACAAGGCTAGAATTTCTGAAAACAACTGTGCTGATCTGGTCATAACAGTCTATGAAAAGTCCAATCAAAGCAGTTTCAAGAACTCAACATCCGGTTCTTAAACATCATTTTGATCGCCATACAGATTTCAGCCAACTGTAGAATTAGCAAAACATGTATATTGCCATCATGGCACCAACAAATAAATTCCAAATTAAAATTTAATGTACTTCACAAGGCAAACCTGTTTTATTCCAATACAGAGTTGAATATTACTTACCATTGAAGAGACTGTTTGCAATGGCGCCACAAGGAGCAATACCGGAGCCGTTGAGAAGCCTGTATGGATCACAGTCTTGGTTCAGACTGCCAGCTGCAATGTTCTGTCCATTGAGCTGGTTGTCATCACGTGATCTGACATAGCGACGGTGATTCTGGTAGAAGTTGGTGAGTCCGTAATACATGTACACCTTGCCCTGAAGTAAGCATGGTGAGACGACATCCTTGAAACAAGAGTCATCAGTAGATGACAAATCCCCCCAGTCCCCACATATTTGAAAGAACAAATCATCTGACAGTTACTTATAGTCCAGCTTGATGTTTTCGTAGACTAAGTTCAAATCTTTCCATGGAAATCGTGAAAAATATAAACGCCAAAAATCTGTAAATAGCAAAAGACACCACTTCTACATCTGTTTGACATGTCTGCCAAGTGTTATAGAGAGAAATTGAAAGGTTTTCAAGTTGTGCTTTGGAAACGAAACCCAACCCTCCCTAATGAGACTATGTCCGAATCATTTCCATGGAAACCGGGAAAAATAAAAATGCCTAAATTCTGCAAATAGTAAAAGGCACCACTTTGGGATCTGTCTCATATATCTGCTACCTTCTGTTGAAATATTGAAGGTTTTCGAGTTGTGCTCTGGAAATGAAACCCACCCCTCACTTTGGGGACGAATCGTTTCCAAAACTCTGTAAATAGCAAAAGGCACCACTATAGGTTCTATTTGATACATCTACCAAGTTTTGTTGAAAAATATTGAACGTTTTTTGAGTAATGCTCAAGACACAAAATGATTATGGACGGACAGACGGACGAGGCGTTGACTATATCCCCCTACATTACATACCGGGGGGATAAAAATACTACATATTTCCTTGTTTAGTGTTCCAGTGCTGCAAACCAAAGCATGAATCTCTTTAGCTAGCTAAATGCCTTATCAACAAATCATGCTAATGATAAACATTATTGAGTTTTGACCATGGCAACAATCTGGGTCGACAGTCAGGTGACAGTGACTGGTATAATTAGCAGTGACCTTGGTTAATGGCACTTTAAATGATACACTTGCATATTTTTGCTACCACTTTGTGCAGCTTGTGCACATATGCTGCACCTCATGCTAAATATATCCACTTCCAGTTACCTGATCATCAATCCTAAATTGGATTTTAACCATGTGATCAATCTCATCGATGATGAAACAGATATTACACGCATGAGAACAGCCAATTTCAATTCTGCAGGAAAATTACTGTAAGTGCTATCAGCACTGAATGCGATGTGCAAACATGACTGATGCTGATCTCAAAATGACTCAAACTGGTATATAAATCCCGGAAATCTGCGAATCCTCATAAAAGTCTCATGCCTGTAGTGTAATTACAAGTACTCTTTCCAATTACTGTGATTACTGTCAACAATATTCTGCATTGCAGGAATGCTTCTTTTCACATTACAGGGTATAAGCACACATATAGCCAGGGTATGAAACTCCCAAAAGTTTCAGCCAGACCACAGGGCTGGTTAGATGTAAAACTTGCCAGCCCTAACCAAAACCTACCTGCCCACAAAATATCTTCATAATTACAAGTCTAAATTTTAACCTGATCGTCAGGTAGGTGAATTTGAGAATCTGGCTGTCCGTGTTGAAAATAACCCGTCCCAGGCGGTCGGACAGGCAGGTATTTCGAACGCTGATGTAGCTCTCTTGATCAATTACCTGCAGCTGTATTTCATGATTCTATTCAATTGATGATTACTGTGGCTTACAAAAATGGATCCCTGGTACCTTCAGCCATGACTGATAAAAGACTGACCTCAAAATTGTCAAGTGACACGGTCTGTTTGCAGGTGCAGGTCTTGTGGTAGGTGGTGGTGTTGGGGTCACTCAGGAAGCTGGAGCACGTCTGGTTGGGCATGTTGGTGTTGTTACAGCTGGTGTAGTCTAACACATATTCACGTATCTGAAACAAAATACAAATCTTGAATCACAAAACTGACCTATGACATGACATCCATACTATTGTAAAAACTACATTACAGGGTATAAGCACACATATAGCCAGGGTATGAGGGAATGGAGTGGAGGGAATGGACTCAGTGTGAAGACCAAGTGACCTGTATGCATGAATATAATTTTCCATAGCAACTTGTTCTCTTATTCATGAAACAGATGATATTCGTGATATTAAACAATGCTTTTCAAGGCTTTCAAGAAAATATTTTATATTAGCCCTCCCACATCCCCAGTCATGCATAAAGATTTACATTATCCGATGTGACGAGCAGGGCTACGCCGAGGGGGATGAAGGCAATGCCGATGGCGAAGAATGCCGGGAGAACAGTGTTCGCTGTTAGGATCGGCTGCCATGCTGGAAGTTTCTGCTGCTTGAACTTTGTATCTGAAATCATAATATAATAGCAAAGCATTTAAGCCAGTTTTAGATAACTATCATGATAACAGGCCCAGTACTGTAGTGATGCCACATCTATCATGGACCTAATTGCGCAAACACTGGCACAGAACTAAAGCGATATCTTCCGACGACCAGGGTTTTACTATACACATTGTGAAAATTGGCGTGAACAATTTACACTGCATGTCCAGAGGGTTGCTACAAACTTCAGGATTTCATTGTTTCATTTTTTTCCTGTCTAAAACTGCAATGCAAATTCACATTAGACTTGAGTTTTGTTCTTGCCTTGTACTCCTGAAATGTGATACTGAGTGTCTCCTGGGCTCTAAATAGACTCATGAAAATTCCTGACTGAGGACTCGATCTCTATAGTGTTACAGCAGTAACTCACACATCACAATGACACACAAGCATCCCAGTGGAATCACACCAGTATCTTCTCCAGTGAGATGAGGGGTTACATTAACCCCAAGGATATCCTGGTGCCTGTGGTCAGCACTAGTGGCACTCAGTGTCAGCGGCCAATCATAATTCTACACTATCTTCATGAATACTAACCATGATAAATGTTAATACTGCAAAATGACCAGTAAGCATGGATATGATGGAGAGCCCTTTCACAACAAAATCATTGACCTTTGATCTTCATAATCATATTTGCTTCATGACAGCTGAATCAACAATGTTAAACCTTGTTTATGCTGCCTGTTGATTGGATTTATGTTCAACCGAATATTAATGATGTTATTTTTGTATCAAAAGCATAAATTGTGTTGGTTTCTTCTTGATGTTTCTGCTTATTTCATTATTTCACCGAATTTACAACAAACATTAACCAGTTGTGAAGCCTGTGTGAGTGTGTTTTCTTTTCGAGCCTTCGTAGATACTGCCAAGTGAGGACCGAGTGAGGACCAAGGTAAGCTGATTGTTAGCATATATTTCTATAAACATGATAAAGATGTATGCTTCATTATTTACTCGCCAACTTCTAAACTGCTGATCAACATGATCGTACGATTATTAAGTTCGGCATGGAAAAATCAATGATTATTCAATAATTATATAAGATTGCAGTTATATTTTCAGCAGATAGTAATCAAATATCAAACTGGAAGCGAATGATACCATGTTGTCAGATACACATGATCGACAATCTTACACTATGTGACTCATAATATTGACTGTTTAGGAATGTGACAGACCCATCAAGTTTTTGGTGTTTTTCACAAGGGGTTTAAGGTCTTTTTACACTTCTGCGTCGTTCTGAGCGATTTGTTAGTAGCTATTTCCCGCTTTATCAATATACTGTGTGATATGCCTGTATCGATACATGGACTCTCTCTCACACACACCTGACCTCAACATGATTCCCACCAAAATACTGATATTCGGATCATCAGATTACCAAACATATTTCGAATGTACTCAGTGTCAACAAAGGTAAAATCGGGCCTTACATTTTTTCTAGTGACATTACCACCTGAAGTATATAGGAATATTGCGACATCACCATCTGCCATAAACAAAATCAGATGACGGAAACAGAGCAACCGAGATATTTGACATCCTGCTATCATCGATCTGACAATCTTGGTGGATTCTTATGCTACCACTTAGATGTTAAATATAACCTACAATGTGCAGATGATGACAATTAAACATGATCACTACCTTTAGGCTTTTTACTCGCTGGTTTTTCTTCTGTCGGAGACTCAGGTGAATTCGTCGCCATCGTCCAAACAGGCTAGACTGCAGCGCCACCTATACAGATAAGGGAGGCTACTCTCGTATTTTTTAAGTTAAAGCACGGTCCGTTCACGGGTCGGGCGGGCACTTTGGTAAATTACTGATATATTCTGTCATAACAATAAAAATAACTTCACTCGCACACGTAGCAACTAAATTATGAGATTAAGTTATATAACACTATTTGCATATACAACTGGCAATAAATAATCTCAGAGCCTACTTAATGGATCTTGTAACCCATGCGCGAAGTAAATAGAACTGCATTCCGATATATCGAGATTCACGACAGAAATATATTCCTGTATGGATTATCTAGTTACAGACAAGCAAAGCTCGGGTCAACTCGCCGCGTGTGCAATTTTTCATCAGACACCCATGCTATTTGTGGGTTATCTTCAAAACCATCTGGGGCGGTGGCGTAGCCTCAAAGCGTTCGCTCGTCACACCGAAAACCCGGGTTAGATTCCCGGGTATAATGTGTGAAGCCCATTTCTGGTGTACCCCGCCGTGATATTGCTGGAATATGGCTAAAAGTAAACTGGAATATGGGTAAAACTAAACTCACTCAATCCAAACCATCTAGATGGTGTCGCCCCTGTCATGAACCTTGCAACTCCGATTCGTTAAAGGACTAGGCGCAGCTATGATAACTGACTGACTGAGTTTGGTTTTACGCCGCTTTTAGCAATATTCCAGCAACATCACGGCGGGGGACACCAGAAATGGGCTTCACACATTGTACCCATGTGGGGAATCGAACCCGGGTCTTCGGCGTGACGAGCCAACGCTTTAACCACTAGGCTACCCCATCACCCCCAGCTATGATAACTGATCTTTATAACTGTACATAAATACCAGAGCAAAATATAACGAATGCGGGAACGTAGAGCTTTTATCTCTCGCAACTAATGCATATCACGTATAGAATCTGGCTGGAGCACTGTTCTTAAATACTGGGCGCGCTTTTTCGGGTTTCAGTCATGGACGAGCGTCGTATCGAACACGTCTTGCTTGAAAATGAAATAGGGAAATATGTTTACCCAATTAGCCAACAACGGACCAGGGGTGCTATCACAAATACGTAGTGCTGGTGTCCTCCCAAGACTTCCGCAGCTTATAACAACAACATTTCTGGTTGACTGCACACACTTTAGCATAGGCCTACTGAATACCTCAGTCTGTAATGGTTTAATCCATTAATCGGCAATGAAGACAAACAATCACCTAGTAATAAATTATAAATTATTAAGCCAGGTTTATTTACAAAAACACATACCTTTTCTAGTTACATATAGCAGTCTATGTAGAACATTAAATATAGAACTTCCCTACGGTGGTGACATTATATACCGTCACAGTGTCACTGCCGTAATATACAGTCTTTACCTGGTTTTTACATGACAGGGACATCCATAAGTAAATCTTTTGCCTATTATATATTCTTTAAACATTCTGAAATATCTGACTGACAAATTTCATTAAATTATCTATTTTTTAAAAGTAAACATGTAAAACTGGCTATTGTTAAAAATGTCACTATCGTTATTGTGTCCCTACCATAACAATCAATTTCCTTATTTAATTAAAATTTATATAAGTGTTTATGCCTGGATTTGGTAGTGCAAGTATGTTTGGTAGTAGAGCTTCAAGTAAACATAATGCAATTCATATTCTCATTTTGATTTTTTTACTACATATTACTTTATATTTGCAAATCAGAATTGTCCGAACCATCGTGAACCCGTGAAGGTCCGGGTTAGAATATTGGCCTACAGTAACCCATGCTTGTCGTAAGAGACGACTAACGGGATCGGGTGGTTTGGCTGGCTGACCTGGTTGACAGGTGTCATCGTATCCCACTTGCATAGATCGATGCTTATGCTCCTGATCACTGGGTTGTCTGGTCCAGACTCGATTATTTACAGACCACCACCATAAAACTGGTATATTGCTGAGTGTGGCGTAAAACTAAACTCACTCACTCACTTTGGTGAATACGAAACCCACTGACTGTAATAGAATTACTGCTTTGACTGCAAGGTATGCCCAGTCTAGAGATCGTGAAGTGGTGGTATATCGGAATGAGTTAATTCTTATGATCGTAACGGGGTGTTTGAACACACAAATCAAAAGACCACGTAGTGGTGTTTGACACAGGATAGCGAATAACCTACAATAAGCTTTACTCATCTAACCCCAATGATCAATATATTTCAGTTTTCCATTCTACATGCGTTTGAAATCCGGTCAAATTGACAGCGAGGCGTTTTGTGAGGATACGTAATTCCTTATGTGTTCGTAAACATGTTTACCTTTACATAACTGTTTCCCATTGACATATACCCGCTTTCCTCGTCTACAATTGACAATTCATTAATGAAAAAAGTAAATATATAGAGAGGTTAGTAAACAGCCTTGTTTATCTTTAAGGTACAATCAAAATATTTTGTGAAAATGTTATCATTACATCTCACACCCGCTTACACAGAGGTATAGATTCCCTTGAGTGCTCCCACCTAAATATACATCGGGCAAACACTCTAACAGCTAATGGTGGTATACTTTTTGTTTGTTTGTTTGTTCTTTAAAGCCGCACTCAGCAATATACCAGACAATCCAGTGATCAACAGTATGAACATCGCTCTACAGAGTCAAACAGTTTGTTGAATAAATTTCGCAGAAAAGGAGGAATATTTTCATATTTTGTAATTGTATTGATCACGTCATCAGCACCAGTGTCGTAAACATTCTTTCAGCGATTTACAGTCTTCAGGTTGTCATTGTCAGTATTGGGCAACTACACAATACGCTGGTCGATCTGATCAAGTATGAAATCTTCATGATATTGACATTCAAACTCGAAAGGCTACCTTGCGCCTGCACATAGCCGCCCCCCAATACACTCAGTTCAGTTTCGCCGATATTACACTCCGACGAATCAATTCTAGCTTGCAACCTCGTTTGTTTCTGAAGTGAGGCGATAGGGTAGGCCAGTGGTTAAAGCGTTTGCTCACAACGCTGAAGACCCGGGTTCGATTTCCCACATGGGTACAATGTCTGAAGCCCATTTCAGGTGTCCCCCGCCGTGATAATGCTGGAATGTCGCTAAAAACGGCGTAAAACCATGCTCTCTCACTCGTTTCTGAAGAAATAGTGATGTTCCATATAATATCCTCTGCCGTGTCTTACAACATGTTTGCTGTGATGTCGGTTAGGTCACATAAAACTACACAGTCATGAGTTGAAACCGTTCGTCCAGGTGTAACAATTTGATCTACCGTCTCGGGACATTAGTGGGAAGTGACACGTCCTCTGTTTACACCACAATGATATAGCTGTATCACTAGGCAGATAATAAAGTGATCACATTATTTATTACCATTTCGATCACTACACCCCGATCTGAATTTGCTAAGAGATATCTGAGAGAAACGCGTGCCAGCCAGTATATTACAGTCTTAAAGATCTGTCTGTCCATCCATTCCTCCCACCTACCAACTCACCCAACCGTCCGCTCGTCAGTCCATCATCCATATCCACCACCCATCCATCCATCCATCCATTCGTAATATCTTTCAACTACTATTTAGCGTATATCAGGAATGATCTAGCAAACTTTTCTGGGGCGGTAGAGTAGCCTAGTGGTTAAAGCGTTCGCTCGTCACGCCGAAGACTCGGGTTCGATTCCCCATATGGCACAATGTGTGAAGCCCATTTCTGGTGTCCCTCGCCTTGATATTGCTGGAATATTGCTAAAAGAGGCTTAAAAACTAAACTCACTTACTCATTCTCGTTAAGATACGGGGCGGTTGGGTTTCCTAATGGTTCCTAAGAGCTGGTTCGTCACGCCACAGACACGGGTTCGACTCCCCACAAGGGTACTATGTGTAAAGTCAATTAAATTTTCTGATGTCCTCCGCCCCGATATTGCTGGAATATTGCTAAAAGCAGTGTAAAACAATAGTATAGTCACACACAAAGACAGATATATATATATATATATATATATATATATATTGAAAGCCATTAAAAACGTAATTGGTATTTGTTGTCCTGAAACTTACAAAAGTTCTATTGAAGATTTTTTCCTGCGATACAGAGGACGTAGGGATAAAAGGCTGTTATTCTGGCCCATTTCGAGTTCGAGTCCCGGAGCATTCTTCTCACATGAACTTTGATACTTAAAACTGAACCTTTGACATTTCTCGTAAACACAACCACATTCATGAAACACGTTGTGCACATGCATTACCTGCACCCAGGCCCTGTAAAAGCACAAGGAATTGTGGAACTCAATCACTTTGAGAAAATACCACACTTGACACAAGACGAAAGGAATCAGGTTATCGGTATGGTCAGCCAAGGTGCTTCAGATGTGATGATTGCCAGGCACTTTAATGTGCATCCATCCACTGTAAGTCGACTCAGACAACGTTTTCGGGCTACCGGAAGTGTTGCTGATCGTCCGCGACCTGGTGCACCACCTGTGATAACAGCTCGACAAAACCGCAATATCCGAGTTTCACACTTGCGAAATCGGTTCCAAACAGCTGATGATTAGGCAAGGAGGACAATTGGGACAAGTCAACGTCATTTCAGCGCCCAAAAGGTGCAAGGACGCCTTGCTGCCTTCAACATCCGGTGTCGTCATCCGTACCGTGGTCCAACCTTATTGCATCGTCACAGACTTGCCATACAGCGATGGGCAGCAAATGGGGCCAATCTTGGCAACAGGACATGGCCAGATGTCATTTTTTCAGATGAATCCAGGTTTAACTTATCCTTTGCAGATGGACGTCAACAGATTTATCGACGTAAAGGAGAAAGACTTGCGCCAAACTGTGTCCTTGAACATGATCGTTTTGGAGGGGGTGGTGTCATGATCAGACCACAGACCATCAGAGGCTGCAGACCATCCAACAGCTGTTCCTGAGAAATGTGTGTCTTTCAATGCCCCAAAGACTGCGAGCATGTCTTGCAGCGCACGATGGACACACACGATATTGAC